AAAATGAAGAATTACCAATAACGGCATCAACCACGCTCTTCGGTTTCAGCTCAACTGTTTGAAAATCATTTCCCAGCTCGTTATAGGCAGTACAGTTATAAGTGCCAAAATCGGAATCCCGTACACTTTGGATCGCCAACCGACTTTCAACGCCGAACTGTCGTGGAACTTGATGTATCTGTTATAAACTTTGCTCAAGAATGTCCAGTTTTTAAGCGATTAGTGCCCGAATTATGTGATTTTTCAGATTTAATCATTCACTCCTATCAGAAATGTGCCTGGGTTGTTTGTGAACGACGGCAGCCTTTTTAACTTTTCATATTTTTTTATTATCGCAACTTTATATTATTCACCATAATTACTGTGCTAGCAAAGTTCTCGTATTGTCACAAAACGAACAGAACTTGGAAAGCTAAATTCTTTAACTCAGTCGTAATTATTAAATCAAAGTAACTATGGCTGAATTTGGGGCGTTTACGTTTCCTTTAGCTATGCTCTGCTGTAGCATGTACGACATTCACATTCATTATTCATTAGACAAATATGAATGCTTTTAAGGGATTCTTTCTATCAAAAAGAGCAAGCAACAAACAAATAGTAGCATACTTGGAGACGACCTCCCAACCGACCGTATTCGAGATTCACTCCATTTAAGGACCATAAAACATCTTGCGGCTGTGGACGACCTCGCACCTGAAACATTTATTTAGGCTTTATAAATTACAAGAAACAGAAATGCGAAAAAAAAAAGTAATAAAACATTTAAGTAAGGAATGTGCGTTTTTGTAGACATAAGTTTACGAGTTTTTGTGTATTTTTGTTATTTACGTGTACTTGCCCCTCATCATGTATTTCAACTCCGGGTTAGATTGAAATGATATTAAGAAAGTCCTAAGCCTGTGCAAGGCCTCGAAATCGAAATCATCTCACATACCATTTCAATATCTTGGTCTCTGACTTAGCTCAAATTTAGGGAACTTCTAGAACTCCGAACTAAAAAGACTGAAAACCGCAAATTTTATGCACAAGGCTTAAAAATGACAGCGACAAGTCCAAGAAGATGAAAACCTGCCTTTAATTCGCCTTCTCCAGTTATGAGCATAGGATCAAATTTCATGGCTCACGAGTCAAAAAAAAAAAAAATGGACATTTGAAATTTTGAAGGAAAGTTCTTAGCTATGCGCAAGGTCACAAACGTGAATCGGCTCGCTTCTACATCTTTAAAATGGAGCAATTACGATGTCTGATAGCTAACGGCAATATAAGTGACAGAAGATGAGACTTTTAATCTTGCTGTGCCCTGTTTAACTTGCGATCCTACATTCAAATACAAGCTGGCACTAAAATTCAAGAACAAAGCAAGTTCGGAACCAAAATTGAGACATTTTTAATGCTATGGGGTGATAAAAAAAACCTATGTGTGGTGTGGTTAAATCACTCCTGTTTTTCTAACATTCACCGTGTGTGAGGCCGCGATAGCCTGTTGCATAAACACACACCGAGTTCCAGGTGCGTAACGATGTCCATGAAAAAAGTGGAGCAGAATGGGATGAAAAACC